CTTCCCAGGGTTTCTAAATATAGTATGTATGTATTTATAGGTAGATATATATTTACATAGTCAAGATCATATCATACATACAATTTTATATACTATTTATCACTTTATAAGTATAAAGTTATAGCATTAAAACTCTGCAATCATTATACTTTCTGGGTGTATATATTTTCTTTTATGGTTCTATAGTTTACTTAATCATTCCTTTGTTAGGAATGTTTACATTATTTGTAATTTTTTTCTATTATAAATCATACTGTAATGAAACTTCCTTGTGTTTAATTTCTATCTTCATTTACATTATTTCCTTGTGATAAATTTTTAGAAGGGTTATTAACCCTGTCAAAGGGTATGAACAGTTTTAAGACTCTTGATAGTGCTGAATTGCTTTCTCAAAAGATTGCACCGATAACACTCCCATCAGTAACATAAGGAACTGCCTCTTGCCTTGCTCTTTTATGAGTAAAAGCCAATGGAAGTTGGCTATTTTCCCACCAGTTTGTGTAAAATGTGTAAACTGTTTGTTGATTGAGTCAAGTTTAATTTTTCTCAGTAGAAACTGTTTTTAAGTATTACATCTGGAGGTTAATGGAGTGTGCCTGATCTTTTCTATGGTTGTGTCTGTATATGGGTCATGTTTGCTTACCATGGCTCTTTCCAGTAAGCTAATTGCACTTCAGACAAATTCCCAGTCTAGTAGAGTTCACGACTGCTTAGTTTTTCCTTTACACACAGACTGAGGGAGATCGGAAGGAAAGACTTTTTAAACATTTAGAAAATGTATTCAGTCTCACAACAAACATTTATTTGTTGTTTTACTAGTTCTAGTGTGGCCTTTGAACAACAAAAGATCCGGTGTAATCCATGACCAAAGAATTGGATGCCTTAAATACCTCTTTATTTTGATTAATTAACTAATTAAATTTAACTTAATTTTAAAATAAAAATTGTATATATTTAAAGTATGCAATATAATTTGATACATATATACATAGTGAAATGATTTCTATAGTCAAGCTAATTAACATACTGTCTCCTCACAGTTACCATTTTTTTGTTTATTAAGAGTACATGAAATCTACTCTCAGTAAATTTCCAGCATTCAATGCAGTATTATCAACTGTAGTCCTCATGCTGTACATTAGATCTCCAGATTTAATCATCCCACAAACTGAAACTTTGTACCTTTTGACGCACATCTTCCCATTTCCCCCACCCCACCCCCCTTCCTTACCACCTTTCTACTTTTCGTTTCTATGTATTCAATTTCTTTGAGTCCCCATGTAAATGAGTTCTTAACTGGACTTAACTTGAAGTAGAAAGAACATTTAGCTGGGAATCAGGCCATTGGGTGCTATTCTCACCTTTGGCTGTGATTGATTGGTTGAACATCCTTGGGAGCACAGGTAATCTGACTTGGTTTCCGTATATATAAAATGTGAGCTAAATGACCTCTGTGGGCCTTTCTAGGATTTTTTTCTTTTAATTTTGCTGAAGATTGAATATCTCCCTTTATTTCTATAAAAGCTGATATACATACACTATTTTAGAAGGTGGTTTGTATGTTAAGATGTAATCTCAAGAATTAGTTTTGATTGTTTTGGGTATAGTATTCCCATTTTTCTTATATGAAGGTCTAGATCTGCCCTGTCCAATATGGTAGCTCCTGTCACATGTAGCAGTTTAAATTAAGATAAAGTAAAATTAAATACAATTAAAAGTTAGTCCCTTAGTTGGGCAATAAATTAAGTGCATTATGCACAAGATCAAGTTTAATCCTTGTACTATGAAGTAGGCATTATTATCTGTATTTTATACAGGAGAAACTTGAGGGCCAGAAAGGTCAATTAATGTATTTGAGGTTAATACGCAGGGCCTAACTGGCCAGCTTTGGGTCACATCCACATAGATATTCCTGCTAAGTTTGGTCTTTTGCCCACCTGTCGTATCGATTCTTCTCATGATTGGTCTCACTGCCTCCTCTGTACCAGTGTTAGCACATTTAATATCCACATTTGTACTTTTGTAACTTTTAGTGGCTCTGTAATTTACATATGTTCGTGACCAGGAAGATATGCTTGAGTGTGGAAGAACTTTGTAGAGTTAAGCTAAAACAGGGCTCAGCAAACTTTTCTGTGAAGGACAAGATAAGTATTTTAGGCCTGTGGGCCACACAGCCTCTGTGTCAACTGTTCAGCTCTGACTCTGTAGTGGAACAGTCCCCCCAGACAGCATGTAAGCAAATGGGCATTGCTGGGTTCCAGCAAAACTAGATCGACAGCAGCAGGACATGGGCAAGTTTGGCCTTCGGGTCCTGAGTTAAGTGATATTTCATTCCCACCATCTAAGCTAATGTGCTTTACTTGACTTATCCATTCATGTATTCATTTATGTATTTAAAGTGCACTCATGTATAAAACACACAGCTCGGGTAAGGGAAGTTAAGACGATAATTCACAACATGTAATTAGAATTTAACAGCCTTGGGCCTGTTTTCATTGAGAAGTTTTGAACTTTGTCCATGGGTAGGTGTATGAGTTTTTGCAAGTTACAAGATCTATTTGAGCCTTATTTTCTCTGTCAAATGGTAAGAATAACACTTACTTAACAGAGCTGTCGATAGGATGCCATGGAAGACCGCTGTGCCCGTAGAAGAATGGCTGCCGGCGCTGGTGTTGTCTTCCTGGGTCTCCTGTATTTTCCAGATGAACTACTTCTTATAGAGAAGCTTGACAAAGGCAAAAAGAGAGGAATTTACTTTCCAGATGGGAGTGGGAAAGCGATCATAGTCATTATTCTCTCTCTCTCTGAAGGATAATAGAAAACACACAGTTGTTTTGGGTGAGTGGGAATGATGGTGGGGGAATATATGCAGGGGCTGCTTGGACAGGTAAAATGTCTGAAAACGAGGATCAGACAATGAAACTGTCTTCAGCAGTGGAGAGGCAGGGGGAAGGAGGGAAAAGAAGGGACGTCGGGATGGGACCCACCTGTGGCAGCAGGACCTGCGGTGGCTTTGGATGTGTGAGGAGCTAGGAACTGAGGAGGAAAGGGAAGTCAGTAATGTATGAGTATACATCAAAAGTACCTTTTCCAGAAGATTTCAGAACTTTGTGTAACAGCATTTGCCTTTGGAAGGAAGAAATACTTTCTGTGTCTCGCCAAGGGCGCTGAGCTGGGTATCTAACAGCCTAACAGTCTGACTTTGCGCTAAGATGTGTAAGGCGGCACATACATATTTAAAATGCACATCTCCTGCAGTGACAAGCCACTGAGCACTGGAGATGGGAAGACACATTTCTGTTGAAGCTGAGCCAAAACCACTTTTTGAAACAACTCTGATAAAATAGTTCCATAAATGAATAAATCCAGAGAGTTTTCCTGGGTGTCTTTGAAAGCCTCTCACAGGACGGCGATGTCAGACAAAGATGCTGTCGCGCTTCCCACAGAGCTTGGAGCTAGCTCTTCTCAGTTCCATGTGTGAATTAGTGAACTGTGCGGCCTGGTCCTTACTGGATATGCTTTTGATGGTCTCCTGGGGCACTATAATTCTCTCCTAATGCAGCCTAAGACCACGAAGTCACGTATTTTCTTGGTATGATTGTGCGAACCTTGAAGTAAAATAACCACATAGTTATATGCTTTAAAGTAGCCCAGTAGGTAAAAATTCCAAATTGCAGAAGATAGATTTGGATGATTTAAGTTTACAGTAAATTTTTTATGAGCATAGGGCTATGACATCTAAAGATTTTTTTATAACTGAGATTGCTGAGTCAGTTTAAAACTTTCTCGGTGACAGTGGGAAAGAACAGTGTGTTAAGTGGTCCAGAATCCTTCAATGTGGTCTTATCTCTCTGAGTGCCTTAGAGTTTGGTCAGCTTTGTCTGGGTCCTTGTCACCTCCTCTGTGACATGAATGGCCTATGTTGTTAGATGACTGCTGAGGTGACTTTCACCTGTGACATTTGGTGCTCTTANGTGTCTGGGTCCTTGTCACCTCCTCTGTGACATGAATGGCCTATGTTAGATGACTGCTGAGGTGACTTTCACCTGTGACATTTGGTGCTCTTATTAAATTCTAGACATTTAAAAAAAAAGATCTAGTCAATATTCTGTCTTCTGGCTGCTCTGAATCCCTTCCCAAGTAAGTTTATTCCTGCTCCTGGCTTACTGTGGGTGCATAGTAGACGCTTGCTCTTTTACAAAACAAAAATGTAATTGATGGGATTCTGCAATGGCATTGAGTTTAAATGACATGACCAGATGCGAGGATAGGAAGGATTTATGTTTATAAAAATAATTTCAGCTGTCCATTGGTATAGTCTATCACTTTGTGTGATATTTCCTTGTTTTTCATTTTTATTTTTAAAAACATTAAATAAAAATAACTACCACCTAAAGTGATGTATTTTATTTGAAATGTCAAAAATGTTTTTAATATCACTTTGTAATATATTGGAATAATCTAGAAGTCATGCTCTGTCAAAGGTAAGTGGAACTTTGTAGTTATGAGGGATACGGGCAGAAATGTGCAGGATGCTGGTATCTTCTGCTGCACTTCAGCGCTGCCTGTGTGATCATGTGCTTTCTCTAATGCGAGACTCTTCTAGGGTTCAGCTAGGCTCTGTCTTTTAGATGATCCATCTGAAGTTTTTTGGTTATAGAAAGTAGTCAAAATAAAAGAAAGTTGTCACATTTAAAGTTTTATTGAGCACAAGTGGTTCAGAACATGACGTGACATGATGATGGAAATTTTCTTTAAACCCAGGGATCTAAATGGCAAAGGGAGGACATCTAGAGATTAGGGATCTAAAAGTGATTCTTTTGATTTAGAGCAGTCAATATTAAGCCTCTGTAACTGGATCTTCTGTGCATGGAGGAGGTGGTGGGGGAAACACAGATGTCAGTAGGAAAGTGGGGAGCTAGTAGTGGGAGACATGAGAGACATGTTTACCTTCCTCAGAGTGAATCTTAACTTGACCTTTGCATGTATGCTCTTTCCAGAGTCCTTTGAAGAAGTTTCCACAATGGTTTGTTCAGCCCTCAGGAGAGTTGCCAACCTGCCTGTCTACCTGGTGAGGACAGCCAGTAGTGTCTCCAGAGGCCACCAGCACCCAGCCTTGGGATCGAGGCCTGCTGCTTCGGAGCCTGCTGCCCAAGGAGCTCAAGGTAGTGTGCTGGAGCTGCTCGGTCAGTCCTACCCTCAGGATGACTATAGCAATCTCTCCCGGAAAGTTCTCTCCAGGGTTGGCAGGAATCTGCACAACCAGCAGCACCATCCTCTTTGGCTGATCAAGGAGAGGGTGAAGGAGCACTTCTACAAGCAATATGTTGGCCGCTTTGGGACTCCGCTGTTCTCTGTCTATGATGACTTTTCTCCAGTGGTCACCACCTGGCAGAATTTTGACAGCCTGCTCATCCCAGCCGACCACCCCAGCAGGAAGAAGGGAGACAACTATTACCTGAATCGGACCCACATGCTGCGAGCACACACGTCTGCGCACCAGTGGGACCTGCTGCACGCTGGCCTGGATGCCTTCCTGGTGGTGGGCGATGTTTACCGGCGCGACCAGATCGACTCCCAGCACTACCCCATTTTCCACCAGTTGGAGGCCGTCCGGCTCTTCTCTAAGCACGAGGTGAGTCTGATACTGTTTTCATTGTTGAAGGCATGGGTGGTCTTATTGAGGTCACTCAACAGTTTATCTCAGTGGATCCAGGACAGCTGTTCTTCACATTTGTGAGTCACCCATCCTTGATGACATCCTTTGTACAGGCCGAGCCTCAGTGTTTGTCCACTGACTTGTTGCTTAGTAGCTATAGGCATTGGTAGGCCTTTGTTTTCCGTCTCCTGGCCTTATCCTTTCAATACCCATCTGCCCTTCTCTGGGTTTCTTAAGAACCAATAGCCAGTGGCTCAAATTTACCCTCAATCCAAGGTGACTAAACATGCAACACTGAAACCTGTGGCGAGTGTCTGCCACTTCTCAGTTAGCAGACGTGAACTGTGTTCAAGCTGCTAGAGATTAATGCATTTCCTGTCCTGCAGTTGAGGGGCCCGGCTGTTTATTGGTTTAGACTGTAAACTGTGTTCTTGTTCCCAAGCTCTTGCCTCAGCCTCCCCTGCTTTACATTTGTGGATGCTCCCGTTGTTTTCTTTATCCTAATGTATCGTGTGCGTCTCCTTTTCTTTTCTTTTCTTTTCTTTCCTTTCCTTTCCTTTTCTTTTCTTTTNATCTCCTTTTCTTTTCTTTTCTTTCCTTTTCTTTTCTTTCCTTTTCTTTCCTTTTCTTTTCTTTTCTTTTCTTTTGTTTTCTTTTTTCTTTTTTCTCCTTTTTTTTTTTGGGCAAATTATGAAAATTCCTAAAAGCTTGAGTCTATTTCCTAAAAATCTGCAGCACTACTTGNCCTTTTTTTTTTTTGGGCAAATTATGAAAATTCCTAAAAGCTTGAGTCTATTTCCTAAAAATCTGCAGCACTACTTGTCTTTTATTTATAAATTTTTAAACCATCTCTGTTTTTATTAAGAAACAAATGGAATGAAGTGAGGCACAGGAACTATTTTTATTACTCCTTTAGCACTTCTTCCAGACACAGTCATTGAAACAGGAGGAATCATCATTTTCGTAAAACTTCCTCCTGCCCACACAAGCTAAATGGATTGTTGGATATGAAAAGGAATTGTTGGATAGGATCCTTAGCCTAATAGTGACCACTGCTTTGTTGTATTAAACGTCACGTTGTAGGAGATGACTGTTTGCCTCAGGATGTGCAATTTTCCTGTGTATCTCTGCTAATACCACAACAGGTTACTGTCACACAAAAAGCCTGTCCGCGCTTGGTCTCAGAGCTCCTTAGATTTACACCCTTACTGCTTGGCATAGCTATTTTCTGAGTTAGGAATAGTAACTATTAATAAGGATATGGATTTATTAGGAAATGAAAAGGAAATTAACAAAGACAGATCAGAACCTGGGAAATATGACCAAGTGATAGACTGTCACCCATAATTAATGTGCTGGAGGAGATGTGATGCCAGTAGGGTGATGTCTAAGTCACGGCCGCAGGCAGGTACTCAGCCCAGCACACCTCGTTAAAGGAGTAAGAAGGGAGGGCGCTCTGATGTATGTGTAAGCCTGCAGGCCATGCAGTGGCAGTGGAAGCTGCAGGACTCACGCTAGCATTTTAATGGAGGAAAATCCAGGCTGCCACAGAAGGTGGAAAATAGGAAGAGAAATAGGGAGTTAATTCTTATCTTGTAACATATTTGCTTGGGTCCAGTCCAAATTAGTGGGTAGTAGCCAGGACTAATGTAATCTGATGCTACTGTATATTCTGCCTTATAGTTAAAAAAATATACACATATATATGTATATGTCTAAAGTTATACTTTAATAAATTACTTCCATGTTTATTGTTTCATTTACTTCTCTTAATAAGAACCTTGTGAGATAGATTATTAGTGCTTCAGATCCAAGGATGGTGTGGGGGAGAGAGGAGTAGTGCTTTCTTAATTCCTAGCCTTAACTAAAGTGTTGGTTCTAAGTCTGACCTACCCTTGTTAGGTAGATACTATTAGGCAGAAATTTAGTAGACCCCATTTAAATCATACGATCACAGTTAATGTTAATGAAGCAAAATGGATAGGATGTAGTTAAAAATATACTTGCGGTGTATTTATTTTTAAATATATTTACTTAAAAAATTTTAAACTCTGAAAGTTAATGAATTGAGTGTTCAATTTAAGGTGCTAAAAGCAAGCAACATTGTTTTAAAAACGTACAAGGGAGGTGGGTTGTATAGTTTTTAATAATCCCAAATTTTACTAAACAGATACAACCACAGGATTAGCAAAACCCCAAACCACAGGCAATGTCTTTAAGACAACTGGGTCACAAGATCTCCCTACGATCCTTTTTTTTAAAAATCCTCACCTGGGGATATGTGAGAGAGAGAGGATGAGAGAGAGAGAAACATCGATTGGTTGCCACCCACATGCACCCTGACCAGGCATGGAACCCGCAACCTGGGTATGTGCCCTGACCAGGATTGAACCCGCGACGTTTCAGTGTGCCAACTAAGCCCCCTGGCCAGGGCTCCCTAAGATCTTCACAAATGGGTAGGAACTCAAAACTGATAGCTAGAAGATCTGCATTGTGTCAGAAACTGAGGTAGTAGAGAAAAGCAGTGGGCCTGGAAGAAGAGAGCTTCCTTAGAGTCTGTTAGAGAACAAACTTTGGACAGCCAAATTTACTGGAGACTCTGACATTAAGTACTAGTAATAAAGTGTTCACTGATGACCATTAACATCACAAAACGGGCAGCCAGACTTACCTGTCTCCAGATGGAAAAATATAATGCTAACTGTAAAGTCCTGCCAAGAAATTTGGAATTCAAGCTAATCAAAATTTAGATCTAACTATTAAATTTATGGGAAGTACAGAGGCAAAGAAACATGTTAAACTACACCATGGAGATGTAATAGGCAAACTCCAGGCTGTGGGAAATTCTGTAGCAGTGCCAACCAAAAGGTGGTCTGCATAATGAAATAGAAGTATCAAAAGTAAGCACTTATAAACCTGTAAGCAGTGTTTAGTGTTAGAAATGTTTAAGCCAGCATACTTAGCACGTTATTAGTGGACTTCTCTGGTTGAACAGCAGGTGAACTGGTTCAGGTGTTCCTAAATGCTCTTGGTCAGTTGCATGTGCTCAGTCTGTTTCGTAGTTATGTGCAGTAGGACATGTATCAGTTCGAGACTGACTGGAAATCTCAAAATGTTCCTTTGTCATAGACAGTTTGAAAAGCACTGCTGTACAGGATAAATGATTCAATTTCTTCAAATAAATTGTAAGAACCACAAAAGTATGGATGGAATCACTATGTGTAGATCCCATCAAAAGAAAACATCTTTAAAGAAAAAAAAATTGAGACCATTGGAAATTCAACACTAACTGAATATTTGAATTTAAGGAGTTATTTTTTATTTTTATTTTTGAGGGTATGATAATGGTATTATATTTTTATAAAGTCACTTTCTTTTAGAGATACATATTGAACTACCTATAAATGTAATGATCAGCTGTCTGGGGTTTTCTTCAAAATAATATGAGATTGGTGTTCGGGGATGAATGTAGGAGGATTGGTTGTGAATTATTAATTATTGAAGCTGGGTGTTGGATTCATGATGGATCATTATCTTTTCTATTTTTGTATATGTTTGAAAATTTCCTAGTAAAGGGCTAAAGAAAAAGATTAAAGGAAAACATTGGGATTAGTTAGTCAATAAAAAAAGTATGCTGAATATGAACTGGGTCCAGGAATGTAAGAAGGTACCAAATAGCCATTAGAAGATCCATGGTTTCTTGGGAAAGACAACTATTAAGATTAAAAAAACACAAACAGAAACCAGGAGGCGGGAAATATTAAGCATAAAAGCATCAATTGCATGCAATAGAAAGCTGAAACAAATTAAATCTAGAATTAATAGCCTCTCTTCCACCAGTCTGAGATGACTTTTTACATGTGAGTTTTGACCAAATCTGAAAGACTTGTACAGTCTGTTTCAGAGAATAGAGAGTCCTGTCAAACTCATTTTATGAGGTTAGACATGTTAATATGCAAAGTAGATAAAAACATTTTAGAAGCTTCATCTTAATGAACACAGATATAGAATTATTAAATGAAATATTTGCAGAAATTTAATTCATTTGGTGTATTGTGCCTACTGCATTATTATTACACCTGTATTATACCACATTAAATGATACAAGGAGATAATGCATGTGATCTCCTAAATAGATGTAGAAGAGTAATTTGATGGTGTTTAATATTTTATGACATAAAAAAGCATTTGATGACATTAATGACTCATGACAAATTTTTAGCAAACTGGGAATAGAAGGGAAGTTCCTTAACATTATAAATTATTTTGTCAAGCACTCACAGCAAACATCATAATTTGTGGCGAATCATTATAAATATTTCTGTCAAAATTAGCAGCATTTCAGGATGACTTGACATCACTGTGTCTATTCATCAGTGTGAAGTTCTAGCTTATGCAGTGAACCAGAAGAGAAATAGAAATTATAAGCATTGAGAAACATGAGATGAAAGTGCTTCATATGGTGATACGATGTTCTACCTAGAAAACTGAATAGAGTATCCAGGTCAGTTATTCCAACTAGTAAGTCTTTTAAGTACAAAGACAATGTAGAGATATGTTTCTTAACCACAAGTGATAACTCATTAGAAAATATAATGGTATAAAGATTTCATTTATAGTATCAACTAAAACTTTGATGTCTAATAGTTGCAGATGATGTTCAAGGTATTTATAGATAAAATTATCAGATATTGTTAAAAGACCTAAATGAAGAAGAAAAAAAGGAGAGCTATATCTTACTTGTAGATTTATAGGCAGGAAAACAAGATCATGAATATGTCAATTTGCTCAAAGTCAATCTATAAATTTGAATTCAAGTGTAAATCTAATAAAAATGTCCACGGGTATTCTGAAGATGTTGAACGACTGATTGGTCTTCAAATTCATAGGAAGGACAAGTTCATGCATAGCTGGAACAGTTTTAAAGAGCACCAGTATGCCCTGCTGGCGTGGCTCAGTGGTCGAGTATTGACCTA